TGTGCTACCAGAACTATTCTGTTGGTCAAGACATACTGGCAAAGTAGTTGAAATGGGGTAGAAGTATAGACTTTTTTTGGAACAGCCTTCTATCAGATCCTAATTCCATGCACTCTAGGGCCACATTCCACTTCAGCATGACACCCCTTGTTAACATTTCTCTCCTATTGACTTCAGTGGGATGAGGAAAAGTACATTCACACAGTAATTTCAAATTTTTATATGTGCCAAAAGAAAGGCTAAGAGATACGTAACAAAAACCATTTTGACATCTCTTTACTCCTTCTCTCAGGATAATATCAATCAGACTCTTGTATTTCTGCTTTGATCAGTATATGGTTGCTTAATTTATCTTTAATAAAGCTGCTTAATTTTTCACAGCAAGTTTCTTGGATTTTTTTGTAGCACGTGCTCCAAACACGCAGCTTAAAAATCATAGAGGTAAAAGTCATTAAGGACATTATGATGAAACAGAAAATGTGGCTGTGTGAGCAATCTATACTTGTGCTTTTCATGCTGAGGTGTAAAATCTGAATAGGAAATTTATAAATCTCATTCAGTGGAGATAAAAATCAGTGAAACCAATTCATATGAATAGGCTGGCAGCACTTACAGATAATGTATAACAACTTGAAGTAGTACTGAAAATCTTAAGTAATGTATATTTTCTGTAATAAATGTATGCATAGTTTAGCACTATAGAGAACACAATCAACCCAAAGTTCTGTCAAGATGTAAGAGTCAAGTGATTTTCCACCCTTTTTGGATTTTACACACTACCAGAAAGCAGGGGTGCTGGTAAATCTTCAGGATTGAGTCCCAAATCTGAGTGCCAGTCTTCAGGACCAAGTCCGAAGTCTTGAGGGCTCATGTTCCAAGCCCCAGTTTTGAGTCTCTAATCTTCAGGCCTGCCCCTCAAGGCCTGGGACTCAAACTGCACATGTGCTGCCCAGCTGATAGACGGGCACATGCTAATGGCGGGTTGTGTGTGTTTGTCTGTGTATATCTCCATGTGCCATACCATTTCAGGTTTCTTTAATACATGTATAAAAATCTTCCATTTACATGTGCTGACAATTCATTTCTCTTTCTGTCCTGCTTTTCTATACATGTCTATGCCACCTGCCAAGAGTATTCCTCTCTTTTAAATGAGGTTGAACTGTGCTAATGTGATAATGTAGCAGGGGAAATCCTTAAACCATTTTTGGCAAGAGTCTCTGTGTGTGTTGACACAGTCATACCATGAAATTCTAAAAATAGGCACCAAAATAGCAGGTTTGACTACTTGTGGTTCCTGAAATCTAAGTTGTTCACAAAATGGGATACAAGCCGTATACACACGAAAATAAAATATTGACAGCACAGTCATTGGTTGTGTCTCTGTGCATAGCCACAAACAAACATGTGGGGTGGGGAGCTAGGTGTGAATAGAAATAAAAGGAAATTCATGGGAAATTTTACTGCAAATATAACAGACAGCCAATAGAAAGAGATGCCAAGATTGTTATAACTAGAATCTATGTGAAGAAGCTGCATTTTTTAATCCAGAGGAGCCACTTCAGTCTCTAAAGAATCTGCATGAATCAAATGAACTTTGAAAATAAGAGTGTTTAACTTGTACAGTAATGAAAGTATCACCACACAACCCCATCTGGAAGCCTTACTTCTGGATTTCAATGTCAAATATGTAAGTCTGTTCTGTGAGAAGGGAAAGTAACTCTAAGCATTCTATAATGTGTCGTATCTGTTCCCGACAACCTTTATGTCTTGGGCAATGGGGAATAGTGTCTTTCTTACTAGAAGCCAGCCGTCCACAAACTGGTGGCCTTCAGAGATGCTAAACAACTCCCATCATCTCCAACAGCAAAGCCAGTGGCCTACTGGATGGGGATCTGATCAAACACATCTGGAAGCTACCACACTGCAAAAGTCTGCCTTATAATCTGTTGCATTTATTCAATATGCTTCTCATTCAAAATATGTTTGAAATGTGAATTTGACTAGTATTCATTCAGAAAGGCTGCCATTGAAGCAAGTAACTACTCCTGGGGTTGATAATGCATCCATGTTCACAGCTTGTGGCAGAGGGTCTAACAACTTTCTATTCATTTATTTGTTCATGCTTTTCTCCCAAAAAGGGACATAAAGCTTACAAAGCTTTTTTTCCAAAGCAATATTTTTTTGTTACTCATACAGTGCTGAAACAATATTGCTCCTTACTTTCCGTTCCATTCCTTCATAATTTTGGGAAATAAGCTGGTGGTTGTTGTGGGTTTTTCTGTGCTCTGCTGTCCTCTGAAGATGCCGGCCACAGAGACTGGCGAAACGTAGGAAGAACAATCTTCAGAATACGGCCAAAGAGTCCGAAAAATCCACAACAACCATTAGATCCCGGCCGTGAAAGCCTTTGTGAATACATTGTTTCTAAGCTCTTGTCTTTTATCATATCCATCTGGAATTCTAGCTGCATCTCTTCTTGAAAAGTCAGATCTAGCCTTGGTTGCTCATATTCTAATCACGGGGTAGATTACTGTGAATTTACTTCTGCAACTTCAATTTGAACAAGATGAAGAAACCAGAGTCCTGTCTCTAATTAGCAGATTCACAAACAGAAAAAGGAAGCTATTAAAGATTTCAGAAAAAGGACTCTTGCCCTTTTGAGGAGAACAAAACAAAAACACAAACTTTAGCAAAAGAAATTCAAGCAGACAAACAAAAGATGCAGAATAAAAAAAAGTGAGGAATATTAAGTGAGTCTTATCAATGTCCTGCTTTTCAATATACAGTACACTCAAAGTGGTTAAACCTCATAATATAGTTTAAATGTAGCAGAGGAATGCAACATTACAGAGACTGTTGTACTACAAGGAGCTAAAGTTTTGAAATGGAGGATAACAATATTGCAGAATGAATGCTTACACGTTCAAGAGAAAAAGATGCAGGGAGTCTGGATAACAGAGGCAAACAGTGATGGCAAAAGACGATGCTCTAGACCTGAGGTGGGCAATTGCTGCTGATTTTTCCCAGTTTTGTCTTTTAAGGGCTCCCCTCTCTGCTCCAACATGCTCTCACACATTACCCCTTTTGCCTCCTCCACTGGAAAGAGATGAGAGACCTCATTGGGAAACCTTGCTGCATATGGCACAAACTTGCCTACACAGTCTACACCTTATTGATGAAGTAAAAATTAACAGGTCACTGGTTCCAGATAGCATTTGCACAATCACTCCTGCAGGTGAAACCAACGATGTATGTACAAATATCTGAGAACTGGGACTTAACAGGAGCTGACATTCAGTTGCACCTGGGGACCTGACTGCGGATACCACTTCCCACCAGCTGACACCTAGAAAGGAAATGGCAAGAGCAGTGATCCAGACATTTGGGACTACAAGTCCTGTAATCTCAGACCACTGACTGTGCTGGCAATGGGTGATGGGAGCTGTGGGCCACCTGTGACCTAGACCCTAGAGGGGAAAAAAGAGGGTGGGGGGAGAAGGTGAGCAAGCAGGCAGTCACAGTTCTATCATAAGCAAACTGAAATGCTCCCAGTGAGTAAAAGAGAAAAGACAGGAGACACAGTGGGGTGTTATGAATATAATGTCGGACTAGTACTAAGATCCAGGTTCAAATCAGAGTTCAGTCATGGAAATTAATGGGTGTGTGTGGCACCAGTAAGTTTTTATACATATCTCATACGCCTTGAAAACCCTATTACGGTTACTTTAAGTCACATGCGATTTGACAACATGAACCGTTGCTGCCTTCTCTTACCTATAAAAGAAGGAATAGGTGATTTCAGAGCAGTGTTAGGTGGTTTCTTCACAACATTGTTCCTCAGTCCCTGGTAGAGGGCAGGGAAATAGAAGAAGAATTGGCAATTTCCCATTTTCCTAATACAGGTCCTATACACCCACCGTTCTCAGTCACTGGTACCTTAAGCCTTACTAACCACTCTAAAAGAACCTTGGTCCCACTTTGATAAAAACAAAACCCCAAACCCTCATTTCCTAAGAAGGAAATTTCTACTATGTTTCCCTGAAAATAAAACAGTTTTGCTCCAAAAAATGCATTAGGGCTTATTTTCAGGAGATGTTTTATTTTACAGTCATATCATCTTCTGGTTGCTGCACAATGCTGCACAATAGTGGAGGGCAGGGTTACAATTAACTAGGGCTTAGTTTTAGGACAGGGCTTGTATTATGAGCATCCTGAAAAACCATACTAGGGCTTATTTTCAGGTTATGTCTTCTTTTTGGGAAAACAGGGTATGTCTACAGACATTTGGTTCTTATAGGTCCCATTTATGGTAAGTTTGAAAGACACAACAATGGACTGAGGAAGTAGCAGAAACAAACACACACAGTAATTCCATTAGTACTTGAAAACTGTAACAGAAATACTGAATATAAATATTATTGCTGCAATTATTGTCAAAATACAGGTTAACAAAAAAAGAGCAGCAGTCCCATTTTAGGTACATTTGTTGCTCGTAACCAGTTATCTTTGGCTTTTTATCCTATTTTAGGGTTTGGGTTTCATTGTTGAGTCTAAAACACAAACAGAAGTTGTAATTCCCTGATATAAGCTCCATGAGCCACCTAGACACTCCATGTTCCACCAGTGGTCTGGGGACATCCCCCCCCTCCCAGCTGAGAACCACTAGAGCAGAGTCAGGCCCTGAGCGGGAAGGGCCGGGCGGCCTTGGAGAGGGAGAGAGAGGGGAGACGTTGTGACCCAGCGGAACAGCCCATTGAGCACCCAAAGCTGGGGTCGCAGCAAAAGGAGGTGTGGAATCTCCGAGCGCTGCGGCTTTCCGGAGAGGTTCTCTTTGGAAATGGGCAACCTCGGGGGAAAATGTGGCGCTTCCCGCCCTTCCGCTCCGAAGCCTCGGGGAGGGAAGCATCCCCCAGCTCGCCCGGCATTTCGCGGGGCATGAACTCACCCTCTCCTCCTCCACCACCGCCCCCACCTCCGCGCCCCCCCATGCGTAGGAGCTGAATGCGGTGATCCGGCGGGGGGTGGTGGAGGAGGAGCAGGAGTGGGATGACTTCATGCAGCCGGAGCGCTGTGAATTTGGGCTCAGCAGCTGCAGCTGGACGCTGGCGAGGCGGCGGCGGCGGCGGCTGCCAGCAGGAATTCTTGCCCCGCGCAAGCGCCCACCCCCGCGTGGGCTTCAACCCGTTGCTGGGGCCAAGGAGGAGGGGGGGGCTAAAAAGGCAACGGGAGGGGGCGCCGCCACCACCGCTGTTGCTGCGCCTAGACGCAGGGCACTAACCGGCCGCGTTGGGAAAGGTGAGCGGATTCTCACGACACCTCCTCGGGTAGGAGACGTGAAGGCATTGGCGCTGAGGGCGAGCGGAGCGGGGGGGGGACGCCCCACGTGCGGAACCGGGTGGGTGTGTGCCTCGTGGGTGAGTCCCTTGGAGGGAGAAGGCTGCGTGGGAGGGCTCGCAGGGACGGCCCTGGTCCCCCTCGGAAAGCCCGAGAGCCTCCCGGTGGGACTCCGCGCGGCGCCTCCCCCGGCTCGCTGGCCACCCCCCCCCGCGCGGGGCCCTCCGTGGCTCTCGCGGGTGGCGGCGGGGAGTCCTTCCCGCGGACGAGCGCGAGCCCCGGAGTGCGAAGCGCCCCCTCCCCTCGTGCCTCAAGGGGCAGCGCTTGTTTTCGCGGCTTCCTAAAAATAGCCCAGAGTCGAGGGGGGGGGGAAGGGGGCTGCCTGTTCCGCCTGCCTTGCGAGCAGCCAAGCCACGGATCCGGGAGGAGGAGACCCGGGGCTGTCTCTCTTATTTTTTATTTATTTGCTTTTATTTATTTATTTATTATTATTATTCTTGTCGTCTCAAACCACCACCACCACCCCACGCCTTCTGCAGGACACCTCGGGTAGTGGTGGTGTGCTTCCAGCGATTCTATGGTACTCCCGTGTGATGGAATACAAGACAGGAATAAACTCGGGCACGATGGAATGAGGGCTGTCGGTGCTTAAAATATGGGACACGTGACTGCTCCGCTTTAGATTACTTAAAGGTAGGCTGAGGACAATGGCAGAGACTGGGTTCAGGTGGGGGACCGGTGGTGGTGGGGAGGAAACCGCTTGCCATGCTCGGATGCTGCACACAATGCTGTTGCTTTGCTCCCCCCCCATCCCCATCTTTCACCATTTCTATTGCCACCAACCTGCAAGTTGCTTTTAAATTGTAGTTGTCTCGTGTGCTCCCAGAGGCATCTGGTGGGGCCACTGTGAGATACAGGAAGCTGGACTAGATGGGCTGTTGGCCTGATCCAGGAGGGCTCTTCTTGTGTTCTTGTGTTTTTATGTTATTGTGCCACCATGTTTCCTGCCCCCAACAAGCAACCATTTTAATGTAATGCTCATATGTTCATGCTACTAGTTGCATTCATAGTACTCATTACAAGGGTTATCCTAGCTTTTTAATAAACGTAGATGGCTTTTTCACCAAATGTTGGCTGTGTTCACCTCATGACCTTGATTTTGATCACCAGCAAAATCACTGAAGCCGGAACCCTGAATGTCAAAATTAGAACACATTTTGGTAAAAGACTTACCAACCTATATTCGAAAAATGTCAATGATGTCAACAAAAACCTCAGTGAAGTAATTTTTCCCACTATATGAATATGTATTCAAATTTTTGTTTTGGAACTGTATACAAGGATTTGTCCTGAAATGCTCTGGGGCTCGTGGGTCCTTTGAGGCTTTGGACTATGTAGTCTTATTGCAAGTGGTCACTTTTTAGATTGCAGAATGCATTTGTTCATTTAATAACTTCAAAATACGGTAAGTCATTCCTGTGTGGCATTTTGCTCCACTGGGCTTTGGAGCTTGGGCTACTATCCTAAAATCCTACCCTCCTAACATCTCTGCTCAAGGCAACCATTGGTTTGAACTGAGCCTATTTAGAACTAAGCAGAAGGCAAGCTTTCCAGCCCGTTGTATTAGCAACCATTCACTGGCTTTTTAATCCAGGGTGTTCAATAACATTGGTTTGCCCACCACCTACTTTTTGGAAGATTTTTTATGGATTGTAATGTGTGTTTTGCAACCATAGGGAAGATGCCAGGCAGAAGTTCCCATATGTCCTGTTGGGCGCCCTCAGTATTTAAAGCCTTTGGCTTAAAATCCACAGATTGGTAGCTGTCTAGTAATCTGTCACTTCGTTTTAGTAATGGAAAAAGCCTTCCTGCCCAAAACATGGGTTTTGTGCCAGAATGTGCATGTATTATGCCAATAGCCTGCTGAACACAAAATAAGCTTCCTTTATATTTGTTAAAAGGAGATCACCAGGAATAAATAGTACACATTTGTGCTAGTCAGTCAACCTATAAAATAAAGAAGTGCTTACTGGAGGCTGTTCATAATTCTGTTCTCATCTTTTACTAATCCAGATGTTAAAGCTACACTAAAATCTTCTTGGTATCTTCATTCTCTTTTGATCAGTACTAATGGCCTCTCCTGTCAAGTCACCTCTCCTGTTTTGATTAAAATGGGAAATGATGTGTGGCAGAGTGGTCCTCAAGGTATCCTATTCACCTGTGTTCGGTACCACAGACTTCTGTTGCCTGAGACAGTATTTAATAAGATCTATGGCCTGTTTCAAGTCAAAATCTTACTTCAGGATAACATCTTGTCATTTTGTGTTTCTTTGGTGACACCGCCATTTTCTGAGTATCTGAGAATATGTTTCAAAATAGAAAGGCCTGGATGGTGAGAATTTACATTTGACAGGCGTGACTCTAGGTTTCTTGTCTAATTGTCCAAAGGTTCTTGAACAGCAGCTGAGACTCATTTAATAAATGTTTTAAATGCTAGTAGCATTATTTGCAGAATGAAAATATTATTGACATCTGAATTCTCTATAGGGGAAGAAGATGGAGGAAAAGCATTTCAGATAACTGTGGCTAAGAAAGTGGGAGTTTTACTAAACTACAAAGATATATAGATAAAAATGGGAAGAGAGAATCAATATTGAGGATTGTACGTTTTTAGGACATGGCTGGTGTCCCGTGATATGCAGACATTTGACAGCCTCATCAACAAAGTTAGGTTATGCTTAAAATGTTTCTATCATGAGAGAAAGTGGTGTATATTATGCACACATTTTTTTAAAAAAAATCAAATAGGTTTATATAAACAAGCACATACTTTTGCATTATAAACAGTTATAAGTTACAGCGTCTGTTCCTAATTCATGTTGTGAACCATATTGGGTCTTGCATGGGATGAATACAGGATATAAATATGATATAATATGACAGGACAAATAAAATATTTCCTGCCTCCCTGATAAAATGTTTTGAGCGAGACCATTGCATGATAAAAGCTGGAGGGATCCTATTGCACCCTCTCTTTTACAATACCAAAAAAGCTTCAGTTTGGTGACTATAGATACATAATCTTCCCCAGCCTCCCAGCTGCCACCATATGTGCTTCATTTCTCAAGCTGGGTGATTTGGATATGCAAACCATCAGTCTAAAAGTGGCTGAAATCTAATATGTTGCAACAAGAATAGGTTCATTGAATCAGTAGGGATTTGGTGACTCATAATTTCTGTACGCTTCACTGATGAAATGAGCCTACTCTAGTTCTGACTTAACTATTGGATTTTAGCAATTGTGTGTTTGGCACATTCTGAGATGAAATGCTGTCATTTTTTACTAATGTGGTACATAAAATACCCTTTTTTCAGAGTCTAGTGGTAGTTCAGGAGCCTTACTTGTACGTGTCAAATTTCAGCTTTCTAAATGTTGTGGAAGTACCTTTGCCAACTGGGGTACAATTTGATGCTTTGACCTTTTATAGTAATCAAGATGCCTTGTGTAGTGGTGTCAACTCGATTTCGGTTTTTAGGTAGTCCAGCTTGAGGATGCACTTTAGAATCCTATATGCCTTATGTGTAGGAAGAAGGCTGCCTGTGAGTAATTGCTCCCAGTATCAAATATGCTGTCAGGCCCTGCCAGGAGATGTCTGTGCATTAGTTCAGCTTTCCCCAACCTTCAGTTTGTGTGACTACACTTGCAGGCATCCCCAGTCATCGTGGCCAATGATGGAGAGAATATGAGTTATAGCCTGAAACACCTGGAAGTTGCCAGATAGAAAAAGGCCTTTGAGCCAACTACTGCTCATGTTTAGGCTTCTTCATGATCTGTATGAGCAGATGCTTTTTCGAGGCTTTGCCCATTGCAGACGGCCATGCAAATATGTGAATGTCTCTAGAAAGGGCCCATTGTGCATTCATTGCTGGGTTCAGATCCAAGAGACACAGCATAGTGATTAGTGTATTGGATTAGGACTCAGGAAACCTGGGTTTAAATCCACTCAACCATGACCTACCCGACCAACACATTCTCTCAGACTGAGCTACTTCGCAGGCCTATTGTGAGGATAGGGAGAGGCAAAAGAGAACCTTACATGCCACTTTACATTGAAGAAAGAGCAGGATAGAAATTAAGAATGTTTCCTGTTTGCCCATTATTCTTAAAATGCCCCTTTCACATGAGCAACTCATGACTGACATTTTGAGGTCCATCCCTTTTCTAGGAGAATTGAGATTGTCCCTGTTTCAGATTTCTCTGAATGTCTGTTGATCCTGGTGGCACGTATGTGGCAAATTTCAATTCTACAAGCCAGGTAGAGCTATTTAAGGAGTGGCTGAACTCCTAAGGAGTTCTTCAGATATTGTTAAACTTCAATACATGTGAATCCTAGCCAGCCTTTGTAGAAGCACTTCTTAAACATCCAGAGAGCCAAAGGTTCTCCATCATTAAGGTTATATTTTCAGTGCCCTATTTGAAAGGAGAAGTGTATATAAATGTTGCATTTTCAGATATTTCTTAACACTGGCAGCATCTTGTGCTAAGCAGTTTTGTTTAAGACTTTCTTCTAGGCCCTAACTCGTGAGTAGAGGGTGTGTGACTCTCCAGGTACTCCAGGAGTGTAACTTCCCTCATCCTTTGCCAGTATAAGGAATGATGGAAATTGCAGTCAAATCACATCTGGAGGCCACATGATCCATGCCTCTGCTCTCATCAGAAAACATCTGGAAATTTTCAACATCAAAGCCAATCTGAGATGAACAGGAATCTTATACTTTAAAAACACGACAGAAAATAAGCCAGGGTGATAAAAGAAATTTGAAGGTTGAAACTGAAAAAGTACCATGAATGTAGTAACAACCAAATGAAACTGGTTCATTCTTGAAAATCATCTTTCTTTAGATTCCTTGAAATATGTACAGTTTTATTAACCATCTCCAGTTCTTAGTATGTTCCTTCAAAATATCTAATTTTAAATAAATGTGGCTTAAAGGACTCAAGTGCAGTGAAGAAGCAAGTTTGTTTGTTTGTTAGACTTCTATACCACCGATCTGGCTGCCTTCATCTTTCTGTTTTGTTTTGTTTGATTGTTTTGAAAATAAAGATAACCTGTCTAGCATAAGTGAATTTTAGCTGATGGTTTATGAAGGCCATGGGCACATGGCTAAACCACTACCTGAACATCTTTCCAGAACAAAAGATGAGATGGCACTGATTTGAAGACATAGGATTTGATTCCATCGCCCTCGTTTTGTGAAGTGACCCTATGGAATTGCTGAGTATCCATCTCATATTTAGTGGTTTTCCTTAAACAAAGCCTGGGCTCTTAAGGCCCCCTTCAGAGAATTTCAAGGTATGTGAGATAGTAGCTCAGTATTGCTCCCTCCCAGTGGGTTTCAGTTGCCAAGCAGGGATTTGATCTCAGGTCTCCTGTATCCTAGCCAAATGCACTGTCCCTTACACCACACTGGGCCTCTCTTCAGAATGAACCTTGCAGATACTAGGAGGACTTGTGCATAAACTCCTACCTTTACACTGTTAATTATATTCTGTTGGAGAGTTTGGAGCAAATGGTGTTCCAAAAGAATTTTATTGTAAGTAGTGACTTCTGTGGCAAGTTCTTTGTGGATATTGTTGATACCAGAATCATTTGACATTTTTGTGTAGTTCACCTTGTCAAAATATAATTTAC